TTGTAAAGCGCTATATAAAATCCAATCCATTATTATTTCATGTGCTTTTCTTTTGAAAGTAGCCTATCGTTGATTCATAATGGGGCCGGCATAAATATGAGCGAGTTTAAAAAAAATGTTAAAAAAATATCATTGCACAGTGCATGTACGTACATTAATTAACGTAAATGTAAGTTTTAGTTTTAAAGTTTAGAATTAAATAATGTTATGTACATGTACACGTACATATGTATGCATGCCTACGTATGCTTTCTTCAGCCTCCACCAAGAACTTCGTCTTCAGCCAGCATCGCCTCACTCAAAAGGCGATGGAAAAAGGTGCTTCGACTTACGAAAGACCCTCTGGAACGAATTAATTTCGTAAGTCGGGGTTCCACTGTATATAAATTTTATATATTTATTGACGTCCAAAACAATCATGTCAGGAACATTTTGCATTGACTTTTGGAGAGAATATTTCACTCGTCTGAGCTGCTGGTTTTGTCAGCACCAATATATGAATTCTGTTGGACAGAGTCTCCCTTTCACAGACACAACACTATCCTGTAAGATAAAGTAGAAATAGTGCTTTCAGAGGAAACATTGTTTAAATGTATGGAGGAGCACAACTGTCTGACTAAATGAATAAACCAATATGCCATTAAATTATTATGTAATATTAATTAAAAAAAAGTTACATAAATTAATTCAATTCAATTCAATTTTATTTATATAGCGCCAAATCACAACAAATGTCGCCTCAAGGCGCTTCATAGAAATTAAAAGGTAGTTTCCCTACCTTTTAACATTCCAACTCACTTTTCCATTTTTGGTATTTTTTAGAGTCACCCACTGACCAGTCAGTCATAAGAATCAGCTGGTTTACAGCATCTGATGTGTCTGATGCATCATGCATATGCACTGCAGTCTAAAGTTCACCTGTTTAGAAATGTAACTGCAAACCACTTAGCACAAGTGTTGCCATGGATACATGTAATATATGTCAGCATATTACAGAAGAGGAACCTGTAAGGCTGTGGTTCCCAAAGTGGGGGTCGCGCCCAGCTGTTTGGGGAGGGGCAGTATGAATAAAAAAAGAATGGTTGGACACATAATGGACAGGTTTTTAATGAAGCATGTCTTCACTTCTCATAATGACTAACTACTCCTGAAACTAATGAAATTAATGTGTTATTTATAATATAGACAGTTTTGGTCTTCCATACAGAGCTTATGAAGGACAGTATGTGGGGCTGTGCTGTAAGGACACGGGTGGGGTGATCGACTCATGTTCCTCTTCTGCCTCTGCTCTGAGTTTGTTCTCCTCTGCAGCGGCCCAGTTGAGAAAGGTTCCCCCAAAAAA